ATCTTTAGTGTTCTAACAAAAAGTTTTCCTTGAGCGATTTTACTATATATTACATCAATAACAAACACTAATATAATTGCTAACCCCAGTATTAACAACTTTTTAAGAGTTTTATTATCGCAGAATTTTCTGGGTGTTGTTGGGGTAGTTGGTTTGTGGTAGGACATAGTATTGCTGGATGTTGTTTGAGTTGGAGTTGGAGAGTCCATAGGACCGTTTCCATTTGCTGGTGGGAAGTTTGTTGACGGGCTACTTGTTCTTGTTTCTGCCAGTAGTGACTGCCGATGGGTAGTTTTGTACAAGTTAGACAACTTTTAATTTTTTCCGGAAAAGCTGAAAAAGTTTACTTAGTAGCTTGCGGAGTTTTTTGCATTGAAAGTTTTTTTTTCTTATTTCAGTTTTGGTAAAAGTGATTTGCAGGAGTTTCTGTTTATATAAATATATATCATATATGTGTGTATGTGTAATATTTGCAATTATTGCGGTTTGCAAAATTATGTGAAATTTGAAGATCTGATTACTGATTTCCGATTTCTTCAACATTTTTTTTTGACTTTAGATTAGACAAAATTTGCGTATCTATTATTTTGTAAAAATTTTATTATTTTTTATAGAAATAAAAGGTGCATATTCATCATTTTGTAAATATTTGCAAAAATAGGTGTTGCGCATTAAAATATCCAATCAAATTTTTACAAATGATTACTTTTTTTTTATTGATCTTCAAATTTCACATAATTTTGCAAACCGCAATAAATCGATTAGTAGTTGGTGTCTTAAAGGTTCAATCGATTAGTAGTTAACAAGCCTAACTAATCGATCTTTTCAACTTTCGATTTGTAACACTAATCCTGTCAAAACCGATAACCGATAAAAAATTGATCCACCATGTCTGTTCCATAATTCAAACCTGATAACCTGCCATTTCTGATAACCGATATTCAAGATATCGGGTTTGTCAGGTAATATAATCGAGCTTTTTGATATAATCTAGCCAATTATATTTGGTTATAAACATGTGCCCAGTGTGCCATTAGTATTTTAAACCAGATAACACAAAAGCTGCCCACCATGCATATCGGATTTGGGAGGGTATACTGTATGTAGTTATTAGATGCGAAGTAGCCAATAACAGAATTATTTGTAAATGGTTCATTTTATCTGGCTGCGTACGTAGCATCCAATAACAGTTTTATCCGGTGGCTTACGACGACCGAACCAACAGAATAATTCGATGATAATGCGTTATCGTCAAATAACGAAGTTATTGCATATCGTAAATGTGTACAAGGTAGGTGGCGCAGATATCCTACGAATCAGATTTCAAGATTAGGTGTAACGTAACACGATCTGGAAGATTCAAAACAAACGTTCGTTCTGCCAAAAATTGCTCAAAGCTCAAAAATCAGCATAATAAGTCACCTTTTGTACTCTAACAAAAAGTTTTCGTTGAACAATTTTACAATATAAACTATCTCTTTCTAGATCCTAACTTTGACCCTAACCTTAACCTTAACGAATTTTAAGAATTTAGTTTTCGCCGCCAACCTTGTACACATTTACGATATGCGAAGTTATTTGATGATGATGCAATCACCACCAAAATTACTCGGTAGTACGATCATAGTAAGCTGCTGGATAAAAACTTTAGTATTAAAACGCTAACAAAAAAGCAAAATAATAAATTAATTTAAATACAAAATTGACATGAATAATATCATTTTCATGCAAGCATTTTATAGTACTAACAATTTGCTTTACAAGACATAATTTATCATTCCGTTTTATTATTTTAGAATTTTGTTTTAAATACTGATGAAGAAGTTCCATCGTAACCATATTCAAAAATAAAAGTAATTACATGCTTTCTTTTTTTTTTTTTTTTTTTTTTTATAAACGCTTTGATGCGTACAAATTTTATTAAATTCTCATACTAGAAGTACATATGTTGGCTATTAACTTATTATTTCTCTACTGCTAAGGGTCGTTAGCAAGTGCTTAAACAAGTTCTCCTTTTCCCGTTTGCCCTCTTTTTATGCTCTAGCACTTTTTAATTCTATTTTTCACAATGAGTGTACATGCATTTTTAATTTAACAACACCTAATAACTTTAAAATGTTTCCATGTACTTCTACTTTTTAATAAATTTTTCAGCTAAAGTCATGCAAGTATTTAGTAATAATGAATATTTTAATATTTTAATGCATTTATGATATGAATAAATCCTGTTATACAGTACGTATTAGAAATAAAAGTTTATTGAGAAGAATGGTCGATACCCGGTGATGATTTAATGCAAAACTGTCAGGTTCGTAAAAAAAAAAAAAACTTTTAATAAAAATTAATTTAACCGTTCTACAATATATGTGTTTACAGTTTTATATTTCTCTAAAAAAAGAATTTAAAAGTTTATTAAATGCTTTAAAATTAATGATAAGTATTATAGTATTAATTTTTTTAATATAATTATAAGGACAGATCATTATACATTTCTCTTGACCGAGCTATGTAATAAATGGAATATTAATGATAAGTATTATTAACTGTTATACTATATAAATTAAAAAAAAAATAAAATAAAATAAAATAAAAACGAATTTAGAAATGCTGTGAAAAAATGAGAACTTTTGTGAGAAAATAAGAATATTGTAAGAAAATAGGAATGTTATGAGATGCTCAGGGATGTGCTTGCTGACTTGGGGTAGTCTTGCTCAGCAACTTGCTCCATGATGCTCACAAACCAAAATTATATTAGTCAATCAAAAAAGGTTTTAGCCGTAATAACAAACGGTTTATTTTTGTCACTTTATATTAACATCTGGATATTTTAAAGTTTAAACCTATATACTTAATATGATAATACCTTTTGTTAAACTGACTTCCTTTGTTTTGGAGAACGTCGATATAACCAAAATGGCATGTATTTTTAATAATATAAAGCTATAGTATGTGTATTAAATAATGGTTTAATATGTGTAAAATTATAAGTATTGAGAGATTTCAAAAATAAATCAAATTAACGCCTCATTTCATGAAATTAGTAAACTTTTTGATAACAAGGTTATCAATTCAAATTTATCGTTAATGCATCGCTTATTTGAAACTGAAATTAGATTCTCGCATTTTAATTCTGAAACCTTTCATTATGACCTTTATATAAAAATCAAAAATTCTGAATATGATTAGAAGATAATAGAATTTTTTAGGCTTGATAATACTGTACATATGTATATGTTGAGTGTTCAAATTAAAATCAGAAACAACCTTATTTATTTTTAAAATGCACTACTTATTTGTACTTATTTGTTAATTTTGAAATCCTCTATCAATTAATTTAAAAGATTTCGCTAAATTTATTGTGTAGCGAACTTATAGATATTATATGTATAAAAGGTTAAATAAAAATTAATGAAGTTTTAGAAACGTCATGTGCAAGAAACAACTGATAATGCAAGAGAATAGCGGGAAGTTGTCATTATTTGACAACAGGTAATAAAACGGCGGCGTTTTATAGAGCTGCAGCTTCAGTTTATTACTATAGTTTTAAACTTCAACAAGAAATGGTATACTTAGTATATTAACATACATATAATACTTTATTATGGATTGGTATTAAAATTGTTTATATGATTTTACTGCTTAAATATATTTAATCATATTTAAATTATATACCTAATAAATTAAATAACAATATCACAAATTATAATATAATTTAAACAATTATCTTAAAACATTTTATATGTATTATATTTTATCTTTTAAATCCTATTTCTTAATATTTAATGTTTTACCTGGATTTGTAAAGATTGTTTAATTATGCAATTTATTTGTAATAAAACAAAGGCTTAATAAAATGGTTTGAACATAAAAGACATCCGAATGAATGGTTGAAATATCCTTAGATTATTTTTTAGTAGTAGATTCAAATAATTATAACTATAATCAAAGTTTAATCTAAATAGGATAAGAACCAAAGACATTCATTATTATGAATGAAATATATATTTCTATGTAGCTAAACAAGGAAGTTTATATTTCATTTTAAGATGTTTCCATATAATCCTCAATGATTAATCGACTCGCTCTCCAAGCAACCATAGCTGCAGGTGCATTCAGGTTTCCGCTTGGTATATATGGAAATATCGAGGCATCAACAACCCGAAGATCTTTCGTACCATAAACTTGAAGTCGATGATTAACTACTCCATCTTTAGATTCTGGAGCCATTTTTACTGTTCCACTTGCATGGAACGAGAACGAGGGCTAAGCACAAATAATATAAAGATGATAATAGATGATAATAGATGATAATAAGAACTTTTTGTATAAATATGTTCATCTGCAATATTAAAAAGTAATTGTATACATGCCTTAGTCAAAATAAAACTTTCCCAATCTTCATCACTCATATCATCACCATTAGTACACCATTGACCAAATTCATCATTAATTCCAATTTCTTTAACATTATAAACAGTGCTTAGTGGTGGTTGTTTAAGTATTTCACGACATAATTTAAGTGTGCTAATCATTCTATATAAATCATCAGACTTTTTAAAATAGTTTGAGAATATCTTCGGTTGGTCGAATGGATTACTACTATTAAGTTCTAGATAACCAGCGCTTGATGGAACGTTAAGAACAGGTAATAAAATAATCCCATCGAATTTATTATGTTTGTTATAAAGTTCTATTGAGGGATCTATTAAATCAGGTATGTACGGGGTCGCTATTTATATAACATTAAGTCAATTAAATTAAATCAATTAATAAACATAATTATATAAATTCGTATTTTAACGAATGCATGCCATGAATCTGAATATCAGGATTCTCATCAAAGAAGTCATCTTTACAAGGAATCTTCCCTTCAACGTTAGCTTTATGGATTATTCCAACTTCAGCTCCATTACTCCAATGATTGATTGTATTTGGAGTCGATTTAGCAACGATCAAACAACTCGGATGATCTAATAAATTTCTTCCAACTGGTAGTTCTTTACGAACTTTTATATTATTTGATTCAAAATTTTCTTTTGGTCCAATACCGGAAAGCATTAAGATCTTGGGGAAAAAAAAGCAGGAAAAGTTTTATGATTATATAACATTATAACGATTGATTAATAGTTATTCTTACCTGAGGGCTATTAATAGCACCACCACAAAGAATAACTTCTCCCTTTGGTGCAATAAAAGCCTTACGCACAACAGCATTACAAAAATATCTTACGCCGATTGCAACATTTTCTTTTTTATTTTCCTCATCCCAAATAATATCTAGGACGTGAGCAAATGACCTAACATCTACTGATGAAACTTTTCCGAAACCATCATTTTTCGAATCTGGATATAATTCGACTTTTTTTAATGCATCTTTTAGATAACTTTCAGCCAAAGAACATCTTCTTCCATCTTTTATTGTAAACTATATATATGATTTATAATCAAAATAATGAAAAAAATGCGAAGTTGATATGTAAACTAGAAAATTTTATTATAAAGGCACCTGGAAAGTTCCAACACCATTCTGTCTCTCACCATTAAAATCATCATTATAAGGAATTCCAAGGTTTTTTGCAGCATCAATTAAACCTGACATAATATCATAATTCCCATTTTGGTTATCTTGCACATGAAGTAAACCATCGAATCCATGAAATTTTTTAAATTTTTCATCAGGATTCTTTCGTGAATTATTTTCTACAGCTTTAAATGCTTTTATGAGAAAACATATATATATTTCTGAGTAAAATCAGATGATTCAAGATTAAATTGAAATAATGCGGTAAAATTATACCTTCTAGACAATGATCCCAATCCCAAATTTTGTACTCAGGACCTTGTGCCGCCCAATCATTATACCCTTTTGCCTGACCACGCCTAAAATTAACGATATAACCTTTTAATACATATATATATCTATATAATAAATAAAATAAACTTGTAATTTTGTGAAACTTACATGTAAACCATTGTATTCAATGAACTACTTCCTCCCCAGATCTTTCCGCGCACATAAGGGGCTCCCTTTCTTAATATTTCTTTGGTAGGGTCTATAAAACTTTGTGTTCTTTGTTCCTCAGTAATATATCCCCAGTCATTTTCACTTACTTTGAAAGCCTATGTAACAGAAATAACATGAGCAAATTAATTAATACGAAAGATAATAAATATCACACTATTTATGAAAACATTAGCAGTAGATGTTTATCACCTTAAAAGAAGCACAAGGCAAATTAATTAGGCCATTAGAATAAGTATCGGGACCTCCAGCTTCCAATACTAGGACATTAATATTCGGAATACCATGAATCAATTCTCTAGCAAGCACACATCCAGCAGTACCAGCTCCCACGATAATGAAATCATAAATTTCTTTAGTTTTAAATTTTTCTTGATTGCAAATATTCTTAATCCAAAATTCACGAATTTTTTTATCATCAATTTCGTTTAGATCTTGACTCATCTTTCTAAAATGCAATTAATTAATTAAGGTTATTATGTTGTGATTATATAAATATTTTCTTTCAAATCTATTAAAACCAATGTTGGCTTATGACTTGTTATGACATATAAAATTTATTAATATGATCTAAAAAAGCCAACACTGATTCCAACGACCTATTCAGGGATAAAAATATTTTAATTGTATGACTTATAAGGTTAGTATGGGAATTATAGTGGAGTTTGGATTTTCTCTTTGGAACGAACTTGTTTTTTCCGATAAATAAAAATGATTTATGTATGAATGCTGCACGAATGACTTCATGCATCATAAAATTATGGTGAGAAAATTTTCATGTCGAGATTACTAACTATACTGCATACGATTGAATTCAGATCAAAATCTATTTAGAACAGGAGGAAACGTACCTGATCCAAACCGTGAAGGATTATATTTATAACATTGGTGGTTAAGTGACCCACCATTGTGAAATGATTTTTTATGTGTAGCACACCAGGTGTGGGATTAAGTTTGGATCGGGTATGTTTCCTCCTGTCCTAAATAGAAATCTATTTAGTGCATTGGATTTTACCTTATAAAAAACAAGACCTGAACGAGAGCAGCTGGTTGGAAATTCTTTCACTATTATAATAAATCAGCTGATTTGGATAATGCTGGTGGAATGTGTTGGGTTGGTGTATGTTATGAAAATGGAAGGGACCGATCAAGATTATAATAAAGCATTTGAATACTATAAAAAAATCTGCTGACATGAGTATTAAAGAAGCAATGAATAATGTTACTCAATTTTATCGAAACGGTATTGGTACAAAGAAAGATTTTCAAAGTACAAATTATTGTTCACAAAATTTAGAGGTCTTTTAAAGACTAATAAATTACCAGATCATATTACAGTTTGCCCTCCATATAATCACTCTCCATACAGTCACAACCTTTTATAATCACACTAATTTATAAAACTAGCTTATATAAAACTTAAGGAATTTAACCTCTATATAAGCACAATTCTTTATAAGCACGAAATTTCTTGGAACCAAGGGTGTGACTGTAGAGAGGTTAGACTGTATAACAAAATCCATATGTAATGTGATAAGAATTATGACTTTGCTTTAAACTATATACAGTAAATTACTTAACATGTATCGTACGTACGTTGAGAATGTGTGAGTTGCGTCGGAAAAGTTGCTAAGCCAAAATATGACAACTCACTACAAACACTAATACTAACTAAACTATTCAAACTAGAACACTATAACAATAATAACCAAACCCTAATATTGGTAAGGCTCGATCGAGGCGTGGTCCGAGTTCTTTTGGTTATAGCGATAGTGTTGGATTTAGATAGGTGTTCTTTTTCTTTCGTATTAAGTAATTTATTCTCTATAACACCTTCGCTAATAATTCTTTCTTTTCGTAGGTACTGCGGCTGGTCTCGTGATCGAAATTGGCCGTGGTACAAGGTCACAGTATCACAGGATCACAAATCAGGTATAATGACGTTGAGGATCTACGTATAAGGGTTTGTATTACTAATACAATTTCTCCCTCTTACTAAACGATATTCGATAGTCACACGAACGATTTTTGAACAAAGGGAGGTTAGAGACAGACACTTTTACTCTTATTTCGAAGGTTTTGAATTCTAAGAGTTATTTCTTTATTGAAGGTGGGCTTTCGACACTATTTACTTGATAATATTTTTCGATACTATTTGTCGATTTTGTTAATCGCTTCCAAAAAATAAAAAAAAAAAAAATTATGAAAATAAAAAAAATAAAATAAATCGAACTCTTGTACACGTCGGATGGTACTATATCGGGGAGGGTAATTTCGACCGTTTCAACGTACAGAAAAAAATATGTATTTGTCAATTAAAAATCTATTTTATTTAAGGAATCACCATTTTAACGTAATTTGTCATATGTTTGTCATGTTTATGCAGCTGAAAGTCATGTGAAAAGCATGGTGAAAATAGCAAATTTCCATGGTGGAAATTAGAGATGTACATCGCGCAACATGGCAACTTTATTTCACCTGCGGTTTCGTAAGAGTTGCACGAGATGATATCATATCTCGAGCGATATGAACTTTTTGATTAAGAATTTTATTATAATTAGGAAAACAAGCACTGTTACTACATTTGTGTAGTATTGATCCAGAAGCGACTGTCCTCGGTTACACATTACAGATCGCTTCCGAAATCCCCCAGCCAGATGGAGATCGATCACACACATGATTGATCGATTATGATCACTTAACCGACCATATAATTTTGATCGATCATATAATCTTGATCGACCGATCAAAAATTATATTCAGTTAAAATTATATGATCGATCAAAATTATATCAATCAATATCGATATGATCGATCATTAATCATGACCAATCATATAAGGTAGCATCAGTAACCTGTGGATGTAAGCAAAAAATCAAGATTCTAATCAGTTTTATCGAAAAAGTTTTACAGAGGTTTTTCAATACAACGATATATCTTTGAAAATGTTTATAATCAGACTTAAAAATCTTTAATTTTTCGAACTGGTAAGCTTTCTGGATTGTTGCAATTATTGCTTCTTGAAATATTATTTCTTTATTCAATCAGAAATATGCGTATGTACATAGTCTTATAATGTTTATATTAGGCCACGCAAAGTTGAATTTTCATTTTGCATTACCTGGCACTTCAAAGTTCGGTTGAGCAGTCGATTTTTTTTTGTTATTAATCTAATTAATAGATTCATATTCTCAGGAATCTTTATATAGTCAAAGTCTTTTAATTTCTAAGGCTTTCTTGAGAGTGTATTTACTTGTTCAAATGATCTCAAGTTCTATTATAAAAGTATGCTGAACTGTACAAGAGTGACATGTAGTTGTACTAGCATATGAATTAACCTGTTATCAATTTTAGGATTTGAAAATTAGTATCTTAGTAATAGACTTATAAGACATATATTCCTTTTCAAAAAACAATTCGACAATCATATATCTCTCAATAATAGATATTATACGGCAATTTAGTTTGGCAAAATTCGCCAACTATTTACCTCTGGCAAATATTATCTACAAATCAATCCAAGCCTAACATAAATTGGGACAACTTTTTTAGCAAAATAGTTGAGTTCGATCGACCCATATGTATAGTAATTTACTATTAAAGAAAGCAAGATATAAATTCTGTTAGAATTGCTCTTGGAAATTTTGGATCAAAAATCGGTTAAGAATGGGAATAATAATAGGATGATTTATTATTATATTAGGGATTCACACTAAATTTGTGAATCCAGACCTAACGCTAATTTTTAAAATTGCTAATTAGAAAAGAAATAATCAATCATACGTAGCTACTGGTTTTTGGTCAAACTGATCTATAAATATAGCTTCATTGTATTCACTTTGGTTAAAATGATCTACAATATGAAATCAGAAGCCTGTTCCAATTATCAATTTCTTTGGCCAAAAAACCCAAAGAGGGGAATACATTATTAATAACTATACTGTATTTCTATATTAAACAAATTATATTTTCTAACATATATGCAATAACATATGTTTGAGCATTTTTGTTGGTGTTATGCACGTTTTGCTCAGCTCAGCAAAAGCTTATAAACTATATGAAACACTTTTAATTTTATGGAATGATGGATCACCATTTTCATTTTGCTTAAATATGAAAGCATTATTTAACTGTATTAATGTTTAATGTCAGAATGATGCTAAAATATCATATTGAGGATTTGTAGTTTAATAAATTATGGAAGTGTGCAAACCCGCAGTCTTAATTTGAAATATACTAAATCCACATAATGATAACTTATACTCTTCATTACAAACTCTAACCCTAAATCGCTAAACAAATAAGTTGAAATATCAGTATCATCCCGATAAATTATTAGATTCAACCAATTAAATCTCATAAATGATATATATATTTGTATCATTTTATAATAGAAGGAAATTACCATATCTCCTGAAATCTGTTATTACTGTCTATTACCCGAAATATTCTGATATACATATTTTGATTAAATAAATATTAATTTTTGAATTAGATTCATTATTATTTTTTTTTTAAGCAAATTGTTATTGTAAAAAAAAGAGAGATTTTGAGAAATCTGATTAGCAGGTAATGCAAAACGAACATTTAACAGTAATGCAAAATGAACATTTGATTTTGTGTAGCCTTAATCGCCTGATCTTAAATTACATATTGAATCCATTATACCAAGATCACTAACTTAATTGAATCTGCCAAAAAAATCATTTATCAGTTGCCTCAAAGTTTATGATAACAACTGTAAAAGATTCGAGTGGTGACTTTTCAATTGATCCCAACTTCTACTCAGGTGACTAATAGCTCACCGAGGCAAATTAAAAATGCCAAAGCAATTTTATTTATAATATTTACCTTTGTCATAACCCTAAACTAACCCTCTAACCTAATTTAAATCATTTAACTGAACATTGTTTTCGGCCAGATATGCCCATAGTTTCCCTATTGAGATATCTATTTATTGTGGAAAACATCATGGGACACTTGAAGAATAGTACCCCGTGTTAATCACATCACATGAATCATGCAATGACGGCATTTGTTTACTAGCACTAAAAAATCGGCCTAAACTATACTATCACCTGACCCTAACACTAACCCTAATTTAGGTTCGGAAAGTCTACGGACACGTACTAGTCACATGACCCTAACCTATCTAAATATACTATGGACGCAAAACATTCATTTTTGATACACCTGCACCTACTTTTTTGATACACTTAAATGCATCCCAAAAATTTTATTACTTTTTTGAGATATGACGATTTTAAAAAAGTCATGTGACCGCCGCACTTAAAATTGACCAA